ATCCAGGGGCTCCTACGGTTTACCGCCCAGATGCTGTATCAACTGAATTATGAGATTCGAGTGTAGACCGGCTTTTAAGTTCGTTTCAATTGCCACAATGGATACTTGTCATCCAAATTCAAATCGAAGTGAATTAGATTGGGGAAACATCTAAATGACTGTTGCTGTTAGTCGACAACTGAATCATATAACTCAAATGGTACAGTACCAGGTCAGTGATATACACACAGCTGCCTCGAATCTTATCATGATCCATGCTTGTCAAGAGCATGAATAGTGGTCAATGGACATCTTATATGATACAATATGACCAAGTGATCGATAGACATACTGCACAGTTCAACAATTCTATTGGTCGACTATGATCTATGATTCAGATACTATTCAGATCAGTATGTGAGACAAAACTTCAATCTGATTCCCTCTGGTCGGAGTTCATGTACGTAAACCAAACCAAACCAAACCACATATCTATCGAGACAACTTTGGTTTCATCAGTCACTACAACATCACACGAGGAATGATTATCGTGACTTAGTGGTTTATCCCTCGGTGTCTGAAATATTTAATTGAGGGGTTCCTAGTGGAACACAAGACTTCAGTAGCACGCTGCCATTTCACTCTCTCCTCTCCAGTCTTTCTAATCTGGTTTCATAACTGTCCAGAAGCTTTCATTCCTTCCTCATACACCGCCTCCTCCATGTCACTCTCTGACACTCAACTCGTCGTTTCCCATTCGGATCCCACTCAACGACATGATGTCACCAAACCGTTTTCTCAGTGTATGTCCAATCCAGTCCATCTCCACTTTCTTCTCCTGCATATTTGTTGGGTCATAGGTTCCTGGTTCATTACCAGATCAGAGTTCCTCCTTGTTTATTGTTATTATTCTCGCCTTCTGACCTCCATCTTTAGTATAGAGTGAGTGTAGGCGGCAGTTGTTGATGATGTATGTTTGCAGTTTGTTGGAAATGCTTTTCGTAACGTCCCAACTCTCTCAACCATCACATAGAAGCACTGGCTTACTTGACTGACATTATAAGTGTTGAAAATCCGCATCTTGTCCACGCTGTATGCTGAGTGCAATGCAGTGCAGTAGATCTCCATAATGATTTGAGACTAATAAAGAAAGGCCTATCTTGCTGTCTTTCCGTTCCTGGCTGGCTTTGATATCCTCATGTGTGCCTGTGGTTGAGACGATGCTGCCTCCTAGGTAGGTGGATGAAAGAGACTACTTCCTTCAGATTTCTCTGAATGATGGTGATTGGTGCTCGTTGTTAGTTGTTTATCTTCATCACCTGTGTCTTCTCTGCTTGCACTTGAAGGAAGTCTCGCTTTCTCTGCTCTGTCTCACCTCTTCTTCCAACTTGTTGGTTTTTGCCTATAGATATGCAGGCTTGTGCTATATAAGACATTAGACATAAATCATGATGGGCGGAAGGCAAATGTTCTAAGTTCTTGTCATAGATCCATCCAGTCCCTAATGTGAGGAAATAAGTGTTTTGGATTCCAATTCTTTTGAATGTAGTCACTTAATTTATCACAAGAAAGAGAACCCCTTTTTTTTCAATTCACTGAACTCTGTCAACTTAACCCGTCTCTTTTGTAAGATGATTTTGTTGTGTAAATAGGGTCATGAATATACAATGAATAAATGAAATGTCTGTTGACCTGAATGATTTCCTTTCATACTTCTCTCTATCTCTCTGTGTCTCTGTGTTTCCAGACAAATAGAGAAGAGGTGAAGGTTAGATTGTTCAGTCAGTCAGTCAGTCAGTCAATCTCTCACTCATTCGTTTATTCATTCATTATTTGTCTGGATTTTGAACAGTTAAGTTCAATGATTGTCGTGAATTTACTCAAAATATTTTTCTTCAATTGACAAAGCAAGCTCATAATCTCTCTTATGTATATACTTTTATGCGTCATTAAGCAATTGGGTGTATGATTCTGTTATAATTAGAATACGATTGATTTGCACTTTAGACTGACTGACATCAACTATAAAGCTAGGGGTATTAGAAAAGTGTTTCGCCATTGTATGAAACTCCTCAGCAGCACATACACCTACATCCCTGAGTATTGCCATTAGTAGTAGGTGTAACTTATCTATCTAGTATAATTGTCTTTACATCATACTGTCGTTCATTGGACGGAATTGATCGGTGTCTATTGGTAAATGAGCTCCTGTGCGGATGCCATGATATTACCCGTGCTCTAATGATGGCAACGATGGGAAGTGGCTAGCAGTGGAATCTAGGACGCATGGGTTTCGTCCTGCTTCGGACCCGCCAGACAGATGTACCTGTCTTCCAGTGCCGAGCCACGTCCCCGCCCGGATTCGAACCCGAGAGTGACAGCTCCAAACGCCGGGGAGTTATCCACTACACCACCGAGCCACGACAGCCAGTTCTTGTGTGATGGGTATCGTTTTAGTGTTAATACATATCCTGGATTCCACTGTTAACCATTATCCATCATTACAACTATCCACCTACTTTAGTATCAGTCTTTTTCGATTCAGTGTGATAAGTTGGACTAATTCACTGGTGTAAGAGGTTCCACACTTTACTTTTGTCTGTGTTATATTCATCCACCTAGGAAACTCATCAGTATAACTCAAACAATGAATGATTTCTATTCCGTGGTGTCACCACACCATATGAGTAATGCAGAAGTAAGGTATAGAGTTTTAGGGGGTAGAAGTTATGAACCTTCATCGACTGAGATGGTTGGCTGTGACACGTACTACGTATGCCTAGTCGTCACCGATTGCCTCATCACACAATGTTGGCTGAAGTAGGTCCAGATTGGATAAAGCCCAGAGGTGGCCAGACTAAAACATCCCACCAATGTATGAAGTCTCTGACTGTTGGTTTGAGCCGTGTATGGGGGGCGGGGGGCGATGCAGACTAGGTGGTTGGGTTGGGGGTAGGTGGGACAACAGGAACCAGTGGTTCAAGACTCTAGGTGATCACGTGGCTGAGAACCGATGTGAGCGGCGCAGATGTGTCCACACACACACACACACACACATTATCTTCATCTTAACACTATACTAAATCTCACCACTTTCTCATTCTTCCTTTCTCTCATTCAGTACGTTATATTTCTTTTGATTGCATTCTCTTATCTTCATCCTGTGCCTCACTACCTTTTTACTTGATGTAGAGATATGAGGTGCGGCAACTCGAACCGTTAGGCAGTAATACTTGGTCCTATGTTGATACTGATGATGATGATTTCTATTCAATAGTTGTCTGTCACCAGTTATCATGTTTGGAATACATTCACCTTGAATTATTATGAATCAATTTTTTATGGTATTCATAATCTATTGTATATGTTTGTTCATTTTTTTTCAAAATATTAAAGGAGAACCTTATATTCCAAGTTATATGGATCCACTGGCTGGTCCTGAACCATGTGTTGTCTGTGGTGATAATGCAACAGGTTTTCATTATCGTGCTATGACTTGTGAAGGATGTAAAGGATTTTTTCGACGTTCAGTACAAAAAAAACTTGTTTATACATGTAAATTTCAAGGGCATTGTTCAGTATCAGACAAACAAAATCGTAATAGTTGTCAAAAATGTCGTTTTGATCGATGTATCAAAGGGGGTATGGCAAAAGATCGTAAGTTTTTTTTAAAAAATTCTCATTAATTGTATTAATAGTAGATAGTGGGGCTAGTAGTGGAATCGTCTCTCAGTGGGTGGCATTCTTCCCACCGGGATTCGAACTCGGGAGCGATCACCTCAAATGTCAGAGTGTTATCCATTAGACGCATAAGAGATGACTATCGTGGCTTGATGGTCTAGTGGATAACGCTCTCACGTCAGAAGCGATCAGTCCTAAGTTCGAATCGTACTGGGAATAACATCACTCACTGGAAGGTAGATACGAGTCCGAAATAAGACGAAATGCACACCATCGATTCCACTGCTAGCCACTGTTCATCATTACTGTATATAATTAAGGAACACTGGCAATATCGAAGCCTTCAATCAACAGTAACAATAGAAGTTTGATGGATCTGTGGGGATTTGGAAGTGTTTCAAGTTGTTATTCATGGTAGACTGACAGCAGTTGGAGAAACACTGGGAACTGCACAGCTATTTTGTCCTAGTATGGGACTCCTCAACAGTGCACACCCACAACCACACCAGAGTTCGAACCCGCGGTCTCCAGGTTCCGTGGCCTTCACGTCACCATTGAGTCATACGTCCAGCTTCTTTCAGCTCACGATATAGCGTAACCACTACTCAATGTCCTCTTGACCACCAGGCTTTGCCTCCACTGGTCACGACTTCTTATTGGAACATTAGGAATCACCTCTAGAAGCTAGTCACCAATGGGGTAACAGAAGTCGGAAATATAGACGATTGGATTCCACTGACCCAGTGGTTGCATGGACCTGGATGGCCTTGGGTTCGATCCTTGGAGGACGGGGTCGTGGCTGCGCACTGTTGAGGAGTCCCTTACTAGTTGGACAAAACAGCTGTCTGTCCAATGCTGATGAATAACAACTTGAAATACAACCAATAACACTAATAGAACAATAGACACAGATGAACAACACTCACTCCCCGTCATGAAACTGGTAATCCTTTTCATACATCATCTATAAGTCACAGGTCATCTGCGTTCAAAGCTTAGGTCATACAAATATATTAATAACTATAATGTATGATCAGACATTTTTAAATTGAGGTCACATGATAGTTAACATGATTTTAAATCTGTGTGTGTCCGTCTGTCTATCTATCGGTTATCTTGTCATGTTCAAGGTCATTTTTAATCGATCTAATGCTCGATTGACCTTGTTTTTATTCTTCTAATGTGTATGCGCATACATGGATAATCTGATATGGTGATGTAAATCTATGCATACTCGAATATGTGTGTGCGTGCGTGCGTGCGTGCTAGTTACATATGTGTGCAAGTGTACATGCATTATGGTAATCATTCTAATCTGAAATATATATCGTAATTTAGTTATATACTGTTAGGGTAACAGAAAAACATCATCACTTGAGTGTATGATATGTAAAGATCAACGTGCTGCAGTAATAATAATAATAATAATAATAATCGTAATGGTCTTAAAGAAAAACAGTAAAATTTGTTATGCTGTATAAAAATGTGTTAGATAGGTCGAGTGTTAAGCACCTATAAAGTTGATAATCATCATGATATCTGTCTGTTGAGGTGTGTAATACTACTATTCTCAGGTTTCAAATGGATCCTCGAAACTGTGATGAATACTAAGTTTACTAATTTGTCTTTCAAGTTGTTACTCATGGTAGACTGACATCACTCCTACAGGGGTTGAACGCCACACTTTCAGGTTCCGTGGCCAACACGTTACCATTGATCCATATAACCTACTTCTGTTAGCTCATGATATAACACAACCACCAACCAATGTCATCGTTGAGTAACTCTCCTCATGACCATCAGGCTCTTCCCCATTGGTCACGACTTCTCATTGGGATATTGGGAATCACCTCTAGAAGCTAGTCACCAATAAGGTAACAGAAATTGGACTAAACAGTGCTCTCAGGTTTCCTTTGTTGCTTCAGCTGATGTCAATCTACGCTCAAAGTCAATGTGAGGCAGTTTCTCTCTAACATTTCTCTGTTCCTCTTCTTTTACTTGTTATAGTTGTCCTAGATGAGGATAAACGTCTAGCTAAACGTCGTCTGATCGAAGCAAACAGAGCACGTAAACGAGCAGAAGCCGCCGCCGCCGCAGCAGCAGCAGCGGCAACGGTGTCAGTAACATCAACTGGAATTGTATCTATCTCAGAACCATCAAATAACATTTCAAGTGTTATCAATCCAAATTTATCATCTACATATCAAGTACTTTACAATCAACCAACTACTGTGATGAATAATCTTTCTACACCGGTTATCATGTCAGCTATTCCTCATCAGCCTACATTTCATTCTAATATCCTTTTTACAAATCAATTTACAGTGAATTCAACTCCTATTGAACAGTATACATCAATTACAAATCAAACTTATCCTATACAAACAAATGATACTGTTTATCCAACTATTAATTCATCAATACAAGGAATGATACATTCATGTTTAAATGAAAAACAATTACCAAGTGTATCAAACCATGTATATTGGCAACCGATATACACTAATTCTAATGGTAATTGTATCGATAATCTATCATCGAATAATATTCAATTAACATCATATTCTTTAGAAAATAATATTTTATTGAATGCTAAACAATCTAATGAAGTCGAAGAAAATCAACCAGTTCAAAGGATAGAATCATTACCTAACACTATTGATAACCATCATGTATTGAATGTTAAGACTATAAATGATGAGATTATCATGTCTAAAAGTGTAGAAATTGATGAACAATATAAAAGTTATTCATCTATAAGTTTAGATAAAAATCAAACATTATCCAATAATAATCAATCGATAATTAAAGATGATACATCATTAACTAAGCATAATAATAATAATAATAATTGTTTCATTAGTATTGATATTGGTGAAACATTAACTAATGATTGTCCTTGGACAATTGAAGATAATAATATGATTGAATCTATTGTACAAGCATATAGTAATATGTTAAATACGAATTTTCAACAAAAAGTAAGTTTTATATAGTATATAAACTTTTGTATAGATTTCTATAATAGGCAATAAATTATCTAAGTGAAAGGAGGAAGTAACCTCCTTCACTTATCTAGGAAGCACAGACGAGGATGTCAAAACCAGTCAGAATCGGAAAAGCAAGACAGGTGTTCATTAGCCTGAAACCAGTTTGGAGATCTTCTGCACTCAGCATGTGGAACAAGATACGGATTTTCAACATCAACCCAGTCAAGTCAGTGCTTCTGTATGGTTCAGAGACTTGGAGCGTTACGAAAGGGATTTTCAATAAACTACAGACATTCATCAACAACTGCCACCTACGCTGGCTCCCTACTGAAGTTCAGATAGATGGTCAGAAAGAATAAGCAACAAGGAGCTCACGCTTTATGCTGATTGCAGTAGATTTCCACACTGATTTCAGATTAATGAAGGAAGGCCTGTCTTGCTATCTTTCCGATTCTGCTTGGCTTTGACATTCTTATCTGTGCCTGTGCCATCTGTAGTTGAGTCGATGCTGCCAAAGCAGGTAGGTGAAAGAGATTACTTCCTTTAGGTTCCTCCTGTTGATGGTGATTAGTGCATGTTGTTGCTGGATGAGTATCTTCACCACCTATGTTTTCTCTAAGTTCACTTAAAGTCCCTTCTTCGCTGTCTATTCTGTTAACTTGTTAGCTTTCGCCAGTAGATGTTCGAGTTTGTGCGACATGACAAATTAGACACAAATCACGACCAGCGAAATTCAAATCTTCTAAGATCTTTTCATCGAGGTGATGAAGATAACGCACCACCACCAACAACAACAAACTCCAATCACCATCAACGGCAGAAACTTAAAGGAAGTAACCTCCTTCACTTATCTAGGAAGCACTGTTTCAACTACAGGCGGCACAGGCACAGACGAGGATGTCAAAACCAGTCAGAATCGGAAAAGCAAGACAGGTGTTCATTAGCCTGAAACCAGTTTGGAGATCTTCTGCACTCAACATGTGGAACAAGATATGGATTTTCAACACCAACGTCAGTCAAGTCAGTGCTTCTGTATGGTTCAGAGACTTGGAGCGTTACGAAAGGGATTTTCAATAAACTACAGACATTAATCAACAACTGCTTACGCTGGCTCGCTACTGAAGATCAGATAGATGGTCAGAAAGAATAAGCAACAAGGAACTCTGGCTGACAACGAACCAACCAAGAACCTATCGCTCAACAAATATGCAGGAGGAAGTGGATATAGATTGGGCATGCACTGAGAAGGCCGACTGAGGACATCACGCGTCAGGCCAGGTACTCGAATGGAATCCCCATGGGAAGCGACGAGTTGGACGTCCGAGGTGAGGGTGACATGGAGGAGGATGTGCGAGGAGGAAATGAGAGCTTCTGAGCTGTCGTTGAACCAGGTTCAAAAGATCTCAGAGAACAGAGTGTACTGGAGACGTGCTACTGAAGCCCTATGTTCCACTAGGAACCCAAGGGACTAATAATAATAATAATAATAAATCTATAATAGGCAATAAATCATCTAACTACTGAAATTGAGATTGGTTATCGAACCAATGACTTAAGAATTGAAATGAACTCATATAGTTGACAGTAATTAGTCACACTTATTGTCTGTTATCTCGAAGCTGTTTAAATTTCAATAAGTGGGATGGGGTTCGAACTCATGACCCATTTGTTTCAAATCAATTAATATCTTCTATGGCAATAGTAGCTGTGGCTGCTCCAACCTTGTCAAGTCATCATCATCATCATCATCATTCATCAACATACGACCAGACATTACTGTACAACTGAGAAAATGGTGAGAATCAGTATAGCGTCGTTAAGATGAGGATAATGTCCGTTACTGACATCGGTTCTCAGCTATACCACCAACAGTCAATCTCCGGCCACTGGTACCTCTTGTTCCCCGGACTCCAACCGCCCAGTCTGCATCACCCTTACTACACGGCTGAAACCAACAGTCAAGTACTTCACACAATGATGCCATGTATTAGTCTGGCCACCTCGGGCCTTTTTCCACTCTGGACCCACCTCAGCCAACATTGTGTGACGAGGCAATCGGTGACGACTAGGCATATGTAGTACGTGTCACAACCATCTCACTTGATGAAGGTTCATAACCTCGTCAACCGACTTACCTTTTCTCCCTCCCTAAAACTGTATACCTGACTTCTGCATTACTCATATGGTGTGGTGACACCACGGAATACGTCCTATACTACGAGGGCGATGGTGGTCAAACACTTGAAGCCTTTTTATATCTCCCACTTCCAATGGCCATGTTTCACAACCATACAGTAGAATAGAGCGGACTGCTGTGCAGTACACTCGACCCTTAATAGACAAACGGATATCACGGCGGCGCCATAGGTGGCGTAAATTGGCACAAGCCAACTGAACCTCTTGTATCCGTGCAGAGATCTCATCGGCCACTGACCCATCAGGTCACGAGTGATCCTACTTCCCAGGTAAGTGAAGTAAGTAGTCGACACACTCAACCACTACACTCACTCTCTATTGTTAGCCGTGGTGGGGCACCGTTGAAGACGAATCGTGGAGCAACAATTTACATTTGGGTGTTGAGAACCGCATCCCAAACATTCTCAAATTACCACTCAGCGCTCAGAAGACTCTGCATCTTGTCACCGTCTTCACCTAACACGACTATGTCATCTGAATATTCTAGGTCTAACGAAAATTCTTCCACGATTAGTTCAAGTGGATTAAAGTTAATGGTCATGGTCTGACCAATCAACCAAAGTTTATTACTGATTAACTATTCATTAGTATGTGTAAAAAAGTCCGATTCTAATGTAAATCTCGATATGTTTAATAGTACGGCATCAAGGAATGACTCTTTTAACTCTTTTTGTCAAACAAGATGCTTTGTAGAAACCTTCAAGGGTTCAATGTGTTCAATGCAACAAATATTAAATCATAAACAGAAACTAAATCACCAAGCAATATATATTGTCCTGCGTACTGCACTACAAGCTGCAAATATAATCTTGATTACCTACCAAGCTATTCAAAGTTCTATGAATAGAACCGGGTTCGAACTGTTCAGCTATCAATTCATTCAAGTAAACTGAAAGGAATATTATACTCTATACCTCAAGCCACTTTTAATTTATAAGTTCGGTAATTATGGTATGTCCTTTGAACCACTGAAGTTCAAAGTACTCTTGAAAGATTAGAAGGAGCCTGTGTCTGTTCTCATCCTTAATGGTTAACCGTTGAAAATAGTCGAAAAGTTTAGGCATCTGGGTAATTGTGTAAGTGGTGATGGAGTTGTGAGTAATGAAATTTCCAGCTGCATATCGAAATGGAGAGTGGGTCATCCTTGACACCATCATTACGTTAGTCTGAAAGTAAAATGTTGAGTTTACAATGCTTCGTTGAAAGCAGTTCTAAGTTACACCTTTGAAACCTGACCTCTCTGAACTGAGGATATGCGATAACTTTATGTGTTTAATCATCGTTATCGCCTGTAACAACACCATGTACGTAATTCTGAAATAGAACAACGTGTGTTTTAGCATAACTGAGATTGTCATTGAATAGGTGAAGTCATCTGGAAACACTGGTACCAGAGGCTTGGACATGTGTTACGCATGTTGTCCCTAAGGCATTCATTGTTTGCTGACCCTAGGACTGGATGGTATAGGTGGAGAGAGTGGGTAGTCAGTTTGGTGTTACGTCGTATCCGGTTACCATCTGTTGGTTCATTACGACTCTCTACGTGGGGTCAGAGAGATGACGTAACTCAGTGACCTGAGACTTTATATGATGGGAAAATGATTTGCTACATAACTTCAACTTTAAAACTTCCCATAGACTCGAACCTGAAGCTTTGTATATTAGTCTATTTTATGCATTTATGCATAATACTTGATTCTGAGACAATTTCATTTCATTTATCAACAGGATAACAGTGAAGATGTGGATAAAGATCCTGAGAAAGTGTTCTATACACCAACAGATTCAAAGATTACCTCACTTATTGAACCAATGATTGCTTCACTTGTTGCATTCGCCAGATTAGTTCCTGGATTTGAATTAGTAAGTGATTTATAACACTACTGTTAATAGTGTTATCAGTAGTATTATCCTTTATATTTCCCATAATTTTGTATGCTAATCATTGACTACTATATTCGATCATGAAGAACTCAAATATGTGTAAGCATTATCAACACTTGGACTGTGGATCAATATGATTAAAATGGATCGATCCATGGAAATCATGGAAATACATTCAGACGATCTGAAGTAATTCGACACTGTAAGGTCATTTCGTCCGAGTAAACCTCTAATAAACTCTATGTAGAACTGTTGAAATGACTATCTGTTGTTTAGATCAATTTGACGGAATCTACACGTCGACGTCAATGATGTGCATTGTTTAGTGGTGTAATGTTCACTCCAACCCCTGCATTATATAAAGGATTGCGTAACGTGATATTCCACTTGCTTTAATAGTATGACATTGCTGTTTGCAGGATAAGATGACGTCGTCTATTTCATAGAATTTTACTCAACTGCACACAGACTAAATAAATTTGTCAATAATCACTATACCAATTATCATCACACATCAGATCAAGCATTTCAACATACCACACCACATTTTAAAGATCAGTGAGAATATAATAGTTCTCAACTCAGCTATGACACTTAATGAAGACACTACAATAAAGTGAAGTATTCACCACACAACCACATACACCTGTCACTACTTAAACACTGACTGAATCAACTACAAGACTAGACTATATGACAAGGCAGAGAGATTACATTCACAAGACATAATTCAACAGTAAACAGACGAATGAGGAATGAGGAGGACTGACTATCCAGCATCTATCTGCCCACCACACTTATCCCACAACATCTAACAACATGTACAATTACACAATCCAGATGAGACAAATTTCTTACACTTCTCAACTCAATTCATATGTACATGTGATAGGAAGTAGATGAAAGGAAGAGGGAGGCGGTTGTCTATCAGGATTAGTGAGCATATGGCAAAGTGTCTATCTCTCAGTGGTCCATTCTCACTCAGCACTGTAATAGATCATCACTTATGCGATACAGGATATAAAGTGGATGCGATGGAATCCTTCTAAGTAGTACTAGAGAACAGACAAAAGACTTTTATCTCACCCGCTTCGTAAACATTCCTCACATTGGCCCATATAACCCTTATCTACTATAATGACGACTGGAATCGTGAATACGTGCTTCGTCCTATTCGGAAGTCGTCAGCTGATGTGACTGCCTGTCATGGAGATATTCTCTACCCCTTGGGACTCGAACTCACAGCTGATCATTTCAAACGACACAGCATGATCCACTACATCATCAAGTCACGACAGACACTTCTTATTTAGTTAGTGTAGTTGTATTCATGTTGCATGATTATTCCCTCGTTGAGTGGACCGAATTAGTCAGTCTTAAATGACATATGTGCTTCTCTGAGGATGCTCCGATATTGCCTGTGTTTGAATTATATGTTGATGATGTAATGAAGTTATCGGCGACGAGTTCGAGTCCCCGTGGGAACAACATCAGTCACTGGGAGTCAAGTACATTCACCTGACGAGTACCAAATAGAACGAAACGTGCATCCTGGATTCGATCACCAGTCACCATCTATCAATAATATATAAGTCAACCAGGGGCGATATCAAGGCATCCTCGCAAGAGCCCATATCTCAATAGAGATCGATCAGTATGGTCCACTCAACGACAGGATAATACAAGCATTAACCTTATCCAGTTTGCCTAGATTTATTACCTAAACTTCGTCTGTCGTTTGAAATGTGGAGTTTGCCTTATCTTTGAAACACTAACCGGAATGTTAGAATGGATCCCTGAGGGATAGACACTAACAGGATTATATCATCTGCATGATCTACATTTACCAAGGATTCCCCTGTTATGCTATGTTGACTTGTCAAGTTAGACAAACAGATGGAGACGTCAGTAAGTGTGTCTGAGATTTATTTGAAAAATATTAGGGAGGTTGCACATCGCTAATGGATACTACTACTAGACGTGAACAACTCATCTGATAACTCATCATATGCTCTAAATGCCCACATTTGTTCGAGTAAAGAGCCTTCAAAGGAGTGCTGTACTCATTGACTGGGTTGAGGTTGAACTCATATGATAGAGAAGTTTTCGACAATTCGAAGTAAGCAAGAGATTTTTCCTCCAATTCAATACTACTACCTAGAAGGATTTCATCGCATCCACTTTATATCCTGTATCGCATAAGTGATGATCTATTACAGTGCTGAGTGAGAATGGACCACTGAGAGATAGACACTTTGCCATATGCTCACTAATCCTGATAGACAACCGCCTCCCTCTTCCTTTCATCTACTTCCCATCACATGTACATGTGAATTGAGTTGAGAAGTGTAAGAAATTTGTCTCATCTGGATTGTGTAATTGTACATGTTGTTAGATGTTGTGGGATAAGTGTGGTGGGCAGATAGATGCTGGATAGTCAGTCCTCCTCATTCCTCATTCGTCTGTTTACTGTTGAATTATGTCTTGTGAATGTAATCTCTCTGCCTTGTCATATAGTCTAGTCTTGTAGTTGATTCAGTCAGTGTTTAAGTAGTGACAGGTGTATGTGGTTGTGTGGTGAATACTTCACTTTATTGTAGTGTCTTCATTAAGTGTCATAGCTGAGTTGAGAACTATTATATTCTCACTGATCTTTAAAATGTGGTGTGGTATGTTGAAATGCTTGATCTGATGTGTGATGATAATTGGTATAGTGATTATTGACAAATTTATTTAGTCTGTGTGCAGTTGAGTAAAATTCTATGAAATAGACGACGTCATCTTATCCTGCAAACAGCTTTCTCATTAGGTTATTCTAATGGCCATAATGGTAGATCATATGAGAACGCCTGAAATGTATTAACAACGTTGTCTTCATAGTATGGGTCTCGGAGGGTGAGGAATATTAGTTGATGCAGTTTATAACTTTTATTGCCTAAGATGGATGGGATATAGGCTGTTCATGAATAGTTACCATCTGCCTAGTTGTGAAATCTTAGCTGAAGTAGGCTTTGGTTGGTTAGACTGAAACTTTACTTCATTGAATGAAATATTTGACTGTATTTCTGATCTATTCAAGCCTTCCATACGACAACAGAGACAAGTGGTTAGAGACTTGTGATTATATTCATCAAAATCCATGTCAATTATTGCAAATGTATCCACAAATTATCACAGTCGGAATGGTCATCGTGAATTCGATATTTTCTCATTCTTACTTCGTCTCCCTTTAACATTTGTCATTGCTTCCGATCTATTCTTCTTTATATTTCATCCTAATGATTTCTCACTTGACATACTGATATCAGATAAGGCAACTCTCACGGTAATGCAGTAATGTCAAGCTCCATGTTGACTTTGTCTGTCAGTCTGTCTGTCTGCCCGTCTGTGTTTCTCTTGAATTGCCATTACCCAAATGGATGTCGGCGCATCCAGCTAACAATGAAACACCTTTCCTGTATTACTACTACTGGTGCAATCAAAGAGGTTTGACTTAAAATGGAGATTTTACTATCATTGAATAATGAATGACTAGATAATCCCAATTGATGATCCAATCATACAACAGATGAGTATTTTGAGACGGTTCTGCGGATCAGGAAATATTTCAAGTTGTTATTCATCATGAACTGACATCAGTTGGAAGAAGAAAGGAAACCTGGGAGCACTGGACAGCTGTTTCATCCTAGTCTGGGACTTCCCAGACCAGCGGTGGCTCAATGGTAACCTGCTGGTCACAGGTTCGATCCCTGGCGGGGTTGTGGGTGTGCACTGCTTAGGAGTCCCCTACTAGTCGTATGAAATAGCTCTAACGTGTGTGGATCTGCAACTGAATGAACATCAGAAAACCTTAGCAACAAGACCAGTGTGAGTGTAGCTATAGGATGAGACCACTAAAGCTGCTTGCAGTAAGAAACTGGTTAGATGGTTGTCAGAATAGAACAACAACACTCATCTGCAAAAAACAGAGTTAAAGACTGTAACAGATGTTAAAGAGGTGGTTGGAAAGAGGCAGAGGGTTTCAGCAGATTAATTGATTGAAGCCAATGTATTCCTTGATGCTTCGAACTGAAAAGAAGTGTACACAATGACCACAAACATTGATGGGTGGCGGGAGAAGAGTGAGAGATAGTAAAAGCAGGGTCGATAGACAGGAAAGAGACAGTTTCTCAGACTAATCAAAGAACCTGGAGTAAAAAGGTGAATCGTTGATGAGACTGTGATGAAGAATGATAGGTCTACGATTCACTGATAGGAAAAACTACTGAAACAATGGACGGAAGACTTTGAATAACAGGTCGATCTACTCTCCTGTTTCCCTCTATTTAGTTAGATTTTAAAGTGAACGTCAAGATACAACCTACAACACACATAAGTAGACAGAGCTGTCGGTAACCTATAATGACGAAGAGCACAAGGACCAGTCGAACTAGTCCCAGAGGTATTTAAGGATGGTTATAGTATGATGAGACACTTGGATGGAGATTGAGAATATTAAATGCTAGAGAATTAGCCAGATTTCAGACCTCATAATGGGTCTGTCGACCACATATTAATCCTCCGTCAGCTTCTTGATTACAAGCACACTTATAGACATCCGACATTGTTTAGTTGAAGGTGGTATTTCATCCCATCTATGTGTAATGTACTACTGTGAATTGTCTGCTTGTAAATATGATTTTTCTACTTACGAATTTCGACATAGATTAATATGCATAAAGTGCTTACTTTGGTGATAATTTCGGATAATAATGGTAATGACTGTATGACTGTTCAATTATCTCTGACATGTTTTATCCACCTCAGGAGTTTTTCATACTGTTGTCGGTTTACACAAATCTCAGATGAATGTATACACATGATGAATTTCTTCTAGAGAAATCAATAATTAAAGGGATATAATTAAGTCATAATTTAATATCTTAAATTCAATATTTCTCTGAAGTCCACTATATCTTTGTTCATCACTGATAAAAAGTATCTTGAAGTAAATGGATTAACAATATACAAAGTAATTAATACTAGTCAAGATTTTATTCATCTGGTTGTTAAACTTTTCCCATAAGGATTGATTTCAACTGGTTGATATACATTTTCATCTTTGAATAATTCCTCTGTCTTGTCTATGACTACTGTAGTGTATTGTTTATCTGCTGGAAGTATAATGATATCCTTGCAATGTTTCAGTCTTTTTTTGTAGAATGTTTCCTGTTGTTTAGTATTCATTTGAGTATGATGTCTCTTCTGCTTTGTCAGTGGTACGATTGTTCGGTGTATTTCTTATTCAGTGATCTCATTTAATCCTAATGTCTTTTAGTGATGATTGTAATCCTGCAAAGAATTTTGGTTTCGTGGCATCTCTTGTGTTATAATTCACTCCTTTATGAAGGTGAAGTTCTTCCATTTTTGTTACTGGTTGGTTTGATAAGTTGGTAACACAGTCGTTTGTTTCATTGGTTGAAGGTGCTTGTGAGAATTTGGAGCAGCTTTCTCCTAAGAACGTTTCTTCGTTGTTTCTTTGTATCGTCTGCTTGTCAGCGTTGTTATGTGTTGTGTCGTGAATAGGCTTTCTAGTCTGTTCAACATGAGAGTCTTTCAAAGTATATTCTGATAATTTCCGGATAATCTTAACCAACCGCCAACATTTGTTTGTTGGTAGTCGGTCAATCAAAGCACGTTGTGGATGACTGTTTCCGCTAGTCTTTAGAATAAATAAATTCGGATGTTCTTGTAATGGAGGGGAGTGAGAGAACAATGAATGACCATAGAGTTTGTTTTCTGGTTACACATAAGCATTACTCATTGAATTATTTAAAGCTATGAGAAGAATGAATATTTGTTCCACTCGGCTGATGAATCTCGAGACGGGACAAAACAGGTGATAATACTCTCTGTCTTTCAGTGGTTCCCTGACTGATATTCGGGAATAATTTATCAATTTGAAGAGCAATATAATCATTATGTTATCTTAAGAGTGGTGACATTTTGTCTTGTTCGAGACTGGTCACCTACTTCGTGGACTCAAAACCCATGATCCATCTAAAGTGTTGAGTAACGGGTTACAGATTGAAACAATAAAAACCCATTGTATTCAAGTATACCTCTTCTGGTCTTGTTCTGTTTTTTATTTTCCCCTATGAATTTTGTTTTTATTTTCCAGTTGGATGCTAATGATCAAACACGTTTACTACGTGGATGTTGTTTAGACATTATAACTTTACGTGCTGCATATCTGCTAAGTCGTATAGCTATTTCACTTGGTATTATTGAATCGAATGGATATAATAAAACACAATTTATGAATACTACAGTGTTAGATTCAACGGATCCTATTTCAGTATCCAGTACAACATCAAATCAACAACATGGTATGATAACAATAATTCCAAATAATATTTATCCTCAACTTGGTACATCGAATGCAAAATGTGCTCAAATGATACGTGGTGTTGCTTTAAAATTGGCACGTCTTGAAATTGATCAAACTGAAGTTGCTTTAATGACAGCTATATTGTTAATGTCTCCGGGTATGTTTTTGTTGTTTATAGATTTCATGACTAACTGACTGACTGACTGACTGACTGATCCACTAACATAATTCGAGGAGATAATTCAGCAAAGACAATTTTCTTTTTCGACAATATCATTTTCTATAGCTGTACAATCGTATCTATATTGTATGTCATAAACATATAACACTCTGTTATAAAACAATAGGGTATAATTACATCATCGATCTAGTGCTAAAGAGAAAACCGTATCAAGAATGCAAAGTAGTAGCGTAATACATGCACCAAGACAGTAGAAATATCAAGGAAGCCAATTAGTTTGACAAAGTGAAAATTGTTGATAGATGAGAAATGTAAATATTGAGTGTCCACTTGACAGATAGATGGATGGATGTAAAGAAGGTGAAGAATGAGACAAGGGTCATAATCAAGGTGATAATAACAGTAAACCAATTAACTGTAATGAAAGTGTTAAGACCATGGTAAGAGATGAGAGATTGAACAGAGATCAGGCTTGAATTGATGAATTGTCAGTGCCTCCGTTATCCACAACTGTCGAAGGCCTACTCCTTTTCAACTATTCCATCTGACACGATATATGATATTGAAGGAGGATTCTGGTCTAATTTCATGTCCACAGTTGACCAAATGTTCAACAGTTGAACTGTTAATTGATTTACATTCTCCCCTCAACAACCAGGCACGATAGTGCTCTGAGATACGTTTGGAAAGCGTGCACTTTGTGCGGCCTATATTAACGAGCTCCACAGGAAGGAGCAAGTAAATTTGTAGACACACATCGAGGTGTCCCGAAGTGGTAACTTGTCCTTAATGCACTTCGGAATGAGTTGTTGATTAGAGAAGCTGATCTACAGTTTTGCAGAGAAGAATATCTTCTTCAGTGATCTGGAGAGCTGATTCTTCAGGATCTGTGCTGCCATATCGTCTTTGAAAACAAGGTCTTCTTAGGAAGTGTGATTACTTGCTCCGTATTCTGATTTACTTTCAAGTTGTTATCCATAAATCTGGATGGATATCCATTTTGCATGAGGATCTTCCATAGTTTATCTAATTCTTCGTCAATGGTATCACTCGTGTAGATTCTTTTTATTAGTAAAGATAAGGAATGGATTGAATTCCTCTTTCTGCTGAGAGGCATCCAGTTGTGGAGATTCAAATATTTTCCGTCGCAAGTGGGCTTCCTATAAATTGATCGCTGAAGAGAACCATCTGGTCTCCATTTCAATAAAGCATCGAGAAAATGGAATTCCGAGTTCTCTTCAAATTCTGATGTGAAGCTTATCGATCGGTGACAATCGCTGAACGTTTTAACTACGTTCTCAACATCTGTATTTCGACCAATTATGATGAATGTGTCATCCATATATCTTTTATATAGGTAGAAACTATCAATTGATGAATGCAGCACACTGTTCTCTAGCTTCGCCATAAAGCAGTCAGCCAGCAACGGTCCAAGTGGTGACCCCATAGTAACTCCATTCTTTTATCTACATAGATCATAATTTCCTTTTAACCATTTTAAGTTTTTTTCTACGCTGATGCTTTTATTCCATATGTATGTGTGTATGTTAGCGTTTTACAATCGACTACTCTAACCTAGACTGTAAGTAGTAAGTATCAACTTCCTTTTGTCTGCATTGTATTTTCTATCCATGATCTTTCTATATGATTGGTTAGATAGTTTTTTAAATGACCTTTCTGTGTTAAAATGAATGCATAAATTTTCTGTAAGCGAAAATTGTAGTCGCGCTCGTCAATATAATTTTTGTGACTAGAACATCTACGGTAACATATCAGTCTGTGTGTGGTTGGATGATTGGGTGGAAACACATACAACAAATGAGGTCAAATCGAAAAGAATTAACCTTTATCTATCTATACAAACCAATATTTATTAGGCGATATAATGATTTGTCTTTATGCATCTAAACAGTGTGTGTGTATGTCTCTATCTTGTTTACAGACCTTCAATGTTACCGATTGGATAGATATAGGTGATCAAAGCAGATTTTTCCTCTCTCTCTCTCTCCCTCATTTATCGCCCTTTCCTTTTTGGGAGATTACTGTCTGTTCGCTATTTATTGACTATCTAGATAAATCGATAGCATCATTAGTCAGGGTCAACTAAACAGATGGTTTAAGGTCAAGGGAATAAAGACTGTTGTTGTTGTTGTTATTGTTATCATTTAACTATGTGAGATAGCAGTCGTAGTTTGGTAGACTGGTTGATGATTGAAGTTGAAATGCAAATCCGAATAGGTTACAACAGATTCGAACCAGGGCATTGAGTTCCGGCTATTGACTAGATTTTCATTTGACTTCAATCACTAAAGATTTGTCTCTTAAAACAGGTTGACTATTCTGTCGTAGTAACACTTTGGCATTTGAAGCGATCGGGCGGGACTCAGGGTCGGATTCTTGGTGGGAACAACATCACACACTGTTAGCCACTATCAAGGTATCCCTGTGGGCACCCATATGCCAATAAACACCGATCGATTCAGTCCAATCAACTAGGGGGTTATACAAGCAACAACATAACTAGGCCTTAGTTTCATTTGGAGGTTTCGTGGAGATTTAGCGATTTCAACTTGGTGTTCATCATGGACTAACATTGGTGGGAGGAATAGTGGAAACTTGAGAGCACTGACAGCTAAATGTTTCATCCTCAGCAGTGCGCACCCATGATCCCGCTCCAACCAAGGATCTTCAGGTTCTGTAACTAGCACGTCACCACGGAGGCACTGGGTCGGAATCCAATTATCCACGTGTCCGATTCCTATCACTTCACGACATAACGCAACCGCCACCTAATATCATCTTCGAGTATTTGTCCTTACAGCCACCAGATTTTCCGCACTGGTCATGACGTGTTGTAATTTCGAGAATCACTTCTCGAAGCTTGTCATCAATCAGTGCCAGATCAATTTAAAGTTACCTAAAATTACCTGTACTATATTATATGGCAGTCGACTCTCTACCTCAACTTCATCGTCTTTGAAAAGGCCTTCGACAGCGTCGACCGACAAGTAATTTGCCAGCTGCTGCTTCAACACTACGGAGTTGGTGCCACAAACCTTTATCAATCTCATTCAACAGCTATATGCAGAGGCCATATGCAAAGTGATCGACAATGGAAAACTCAGTGGCGCCTTTCAAGTGAAGACAGGAGTAAGACAAGGCTGCATACTATCACCCATGATCTTCCTGATTGTGGTCGACTGGATCATGCAGCAAACAGTGAAGAGCAAGAAGATGGGTATACGCTGGTCCGGTGAAAAGACCCTAGAAGATTTGGATTTTGCCAACCATGATGATTTATGTCTAATGTCTTATGTCGCACAAACTCGAAGATTTACAGTCGAAAACCAACAAGTTGATAGAAGAGGTAGGGCAGGGAAGACGGGACTTCAAGTGAATGTAGAGAAGACGGAGGTGATGAAGATACCCAACCAACAACAGCGTAAAACAACAAGAGGCACCAATTACCATCAACGAGAGAAATCTGAAGGAAGTGGTCTCTTTCACCTACCTACCTAGGAGGCAGCATCGTGTCAAATACAGGCGGCGCAGATGGGGACATCAAAGCCGGAATCGGAAAGACAGCAAGACAGGCTACCGCTAATCTTAAATCAGTGTGGAAATCTACTGCACTCAGCATAAAGAACGAGATCCAGACTTTCAACGCCAATTCAGTCAAGTCAGTGCTGCCAGGTGATAGTTCAGAGATTTTGGCGTATCACGAAAAGCACACCCAACAAACTACAGACATTCATCAACAGCTACCGCCTATGCTATCGCGATACTGAAGATCAGATGGCCAGAAATAATAAGCAACAAGGAACTCTGGCTGGTTAGCTGGCAACGAATCAACGAAGCAAGAACCCATCACCTAATAAATATGCACTGGAAGGTAGTGGAGATGGATTGGGTATACACTGAAAAGACCATTCAGGGATATCACAGGCCAGGCCAGGTGGTCGAGTGGAATGCAAAGGTGAGACAACGAGTTGAGTGTCCGAGGCGTGGGTGACATGAAGGAGATCATATGAGAAAGAAATGAAATCATATAGGCAGTCGTTCGTATAGTTATGATACTATGTATAGGATGTTGTTTTAAATGAAAAGATAATGAAAATTCAATAATATTTTTTTTGTGTATGTTTACATTTTTAGATCGTTTTGGTTTAACGGATTGTGAAACTGTTGAACATACTCAAGATATTCTATTGGAGACATTTAATAGATATGCTAATCGTATACGTAAGTTACGGTCTCTACGATTTCAGTCAAATCGTCCATTATCAAATTTACACCACCACCACCACCACCACCACCACCACCACCAACAGCAACAACAACAACAACAGCAACAACATTGGCCAAGAATTTTAATGGCTTTAACTGAATTACGTTCAATTACATTGTGCAATCAAGGTTTATTTGTTGAAAAAGCATATTGTACAACAATTGAACAGTTACCATGGTATTTTCGTGAATTATTTGCTGGTGATTTTATTCTTCAACAAACTAATCGTTTCAATTGAAATTAAAGCGCCTTTTATAAGTATAATTAAGTAATTAATTTATTCTACCTCATAAGATATTCATTCATTAGATAGGCGTTTGAAATTTTCATTACTGATTGATTTTCTTTTCCAGCTTTCTCCACCTTCCTCTTCTCTTTGAAGTTTTCTTCTCTTCTACATATCATTGTGTAAAATGTTTGATGATAAACCGATAGGCGTGGGGGGGGGACGGGGGATAGTATTTTGCCATGTATGTTTTCACTTCTTAAATAGGAAATTGTTCAACTCCATACTTTCTCCCTTTCTACTCTAGATTAGTTGCCATGTGTGTGTGCGTGATTTATGCGTTATAGGATATTATCAGTAGAATATTTCTTCATTCAAGTACTTATTGAATCATATATAAAGGTGTGTCATCTAGCCAATTAGCTTCTACATCATTTAATTTATCTCTTTATCATTACTTTCATAAATAAACATACATACTCAACAATACTACTAATATCATTATCAGTAGTACTAGTAGTAGTATTAGTAGTAGTTATCAAAACTAATAATAGGACGTAATATACTCTTTTTTTGTTGTTGTTGTTGCTTATTTTTATCACCTTAGTATTCTCTTTTATTGCCAATTGAAAAGCTTTTTCGAAAAAAAATTTATTGATTATTCGTTAAGTCGTAGTCCGCGGAGTTCTTACTTTGTGTTCTGTTATTCTTGATTTAGAAAACAATTTTGCATGTGTGATTTTGAAGTGAAGTTTATACACTAATGATCAACTTTTTTGTTTTGTTTTGTGATTTTGAATAAGTAAACATCAACTTAATCGGTGATATACAAAAGTTCTTGTCTTGTTCTTATTTCGTTCTGTTATTTACTGTAAATATATGAATATACACTGTGGAGATGTAATGTGTAACAGTGGTGGTGACAGGATTCCCCTTTGTATGTTAGTGTATGTATTAAGGTGTTCTGTTTTGCTTACTATTATTATTATCATTATTATGTAATATCTCCTTCTCTTAAAATATGATTCTACTGTTCCCTTGTGTTTTATAAGAGAGAATGTAGTTCCGTTTAAGATGTGAATACAACAGACAAATGAAAAAACCAGTGGTGTTGCATATTTTCGTCTGGTTTTCATATTTTTCGCTTTAATCTCCTCTTTTTGCTTTTTTTTGTTCCATGTATAAACGTACAGGCATAACATCTTTTGATCCATCTCTCTGTCTTCCCCCCCTTTCTCTTTCATTTTCCTAACAGAATTCACTTTGCTTTCATTTACTACATTTTTTCTAGTTGACGAAGGATTGAGGTTGTAGGTTATTGACAAACACTCATAGAATTTATCCTTCTGTGATAAAGGAAAAAATGAAGGCGTAAATGTGGAATCAAGGGTATGCATCTCGTCAGGTGAGATATATTTACCTTATAGTGAGTTATCCCGTTTCCACTAGGACTCGAATTGACGACCAGTCACTTGAAACGTCCATCGTAGATTCTTATTATTATTTGTCCCCTGGGTTCCTAGTAGCACATCTCCATTCTATTCTGTTCTGTGCAAACTTTTGAACCTGGCTCTACGACTGCCCACAAGCTTTAATTTCTTTCCCACACTATCTTCTCCATGTTATCCTCAGCTGGGACGCCCAACTTGCTGTTACCCATCTGGGTTACATTCGAGTGCCTGACCTGAAGCGTGATATCCCTGAATGGTCTTTTCAGTGTATGCCCAATCCATTTCCACTTCCGCATATTTGTTGAGCGATAGGTTCTTGCCTCGTTGGTACATTGTCAGACCAGAGTTACTTGTTGCCTATTCTTTGTCGTCATCTAAGCTTCAGTATCGAGCCAGCATAGGCAGTTGTTGGTGAATATCTTTCCTTACAAATATCCATCCACTTATTGTACTACTATATATGTGTTGAGTTGTTTGTATAAGTTGAGGGGGATAACACCAAGTTAACGGATAAGTAGCATTGATAAAACTTGACTGGTATGTTTAATATTTATCATTCGTAATGGTTCTACATACGTCTAAAAGTAATGTAGAAATGTAGTTGACTAGGTAAACTAATTTTCTTTCAAATAATAAACTTTTATCAGGTTTTTCAATACTGTAGACCGAGAAATATTATTGATTAGCGTGTACTCATGCTTTAATAGTCAGAGATTGGACATGATTCTACCAGTTTAGTTATAACGTTCATCTTGCATATGAATAGTCTTGTATATACTTACCACGTCTTCTATACTCAGTCCAGCATCTCACACGATGAGTTACGAACTTTGGCTCTACGTTGGAAACGTTTACAACAGAATATCAAGTCTATTATTGCCTGTTCCCAGTATCTATTCCTGCCGATCTAATTCATCTACGTATATACACAAGTAAATTACTTGATGAAAGAAAGGACCAGTTTCACTGGATGAAAAGGGATATCAATCAAAAGGTGTTGAATCCAGATAGCTATACAGTAATCTTGTTATCAGTTGAATTATGCGTAAAACGACCGCTGATACTTATCCAAGAAGATACACATTTTCCACAGCCTTTTCGGTTGATCTAACATTAAATACACTTTACCTTTCATTGTAGTATGCTACACACATACACACACACACACACACAGAGAAAAAGAAGCTGAGAAACAACTTCCAAGATTTTGAAGAATATTATTCAATTCTTTGAAGGACTACTTGGAAATAAGCATCTGCAATGAATAGTATAAACGCATACACAATTGAAGATGTAGGGTGATAAGTTAAACAAGATGTAAACAGGGAAATATTATGAGAACTAGAGTAAAGACGAGGAGAGAGAAACCAGTAGGAATTGTCTTGGATTGAACAGAATGAGTCACGGTTTCTCTCAAGGTGGAGTTCATCATGCGCTGACATAAACTGAAGCGAATGAATGGCCATTTCGACCTAGTATAAAACTCATTGACCTCGAGCCCAAGATGTTAAGCTTTCATAGAGAGCCATTTCTTCACAATCCGATAGTCTCTTTGTTATCTCAATGAAATCACGAAGTCTTGCGTTCGATTTCTGCCTGAATCTTGGCGGTTTGCAACGTTGAGGAGTAGCATACTAGGACGGAAAACCTGTTCAGTGCTTCTCCAAATGATGTCAGCCCGTGATGAGTACTAACTCAAAATACACTACTACTACTACTACTACTACTACTACTACTACTACTACTACTACTACTACTACTACTCACACTACTACTACTACTACATTATTATTTGTCCCTTGGGTTCCTAATGGAACATACAGCTTCAGTAGCACGTCATCATTCCACTCTCTTCTCTCCAGTCTTTCCAACCTGGCTCCACCACTGCCAAGAAGCTTTCATCTCTTCTTCACACCATCTCCTCCATGTTGGAAATGCTTCTCATAACGCGTCAACTCTCTCAACCATCACATACAAGCACTGACTCACTTGACTGGCATTAGTAGTGTTCAAAATCCGGATATTGTTCACACTTTATGCTGAGTACAGTGCAGTGCAGTGCAGTGCAATGCAATGCAATGCAGTAGATCGCCACACTCATTTCCGATTGATCAAGGAAGGCCTGTCACGCTTTCCTCCCGATCCTGGTTGGCTTTGACGTCGTCATCTGTGTCTGTGTCTGTGCCTGTGTCTGTGCCGTCGCCTCTTGTTGAAACGATACCACCTCCTAGGTAGGTAGTTAGTTAGGTAGTTAGGTAGTTCGGTGGGTAAGTGAAAGAGATAACTTGCTTTATATTTCCCTCGTTCATGGTGATTGTTGCTTGTTGTTGTTGTTGTTGTTGTTGTTGTTGCCGTAATCGGTTGGAAATCTTCATCACCCGTGTCTTCTCTACATTCACTTGAAGGAAGTTCCATCTTCGCTGCCATCCCTCACCTCGCCTCACCTCGCCTCCCCTCCCCTCTTCTACCAACTTGTCAGTTTTCGCCTCTACATCTTCCAGTTTGTTTGTGCGACGATAGTCATTAGACAGAAATCATGATGGGTGGAATGCGAATGTTCTAGGGTGTTTTCTTTAGTCAAACAGCCAGGGTATGCTCATCTTGTGGCTCTTCACAGTTTTCGGTTGCATGTTCCAGTCTTGTCTTGTCTTGTCGAGACGACCACAATCAGGAAGATCATCGACGATAGTAGGTGGCAATATTGTCCTACCTCTCAACCTGTCTTCACTTCACTTCGAAGGCATCACTGAGCTTTCCATTGTGTTGTGAATCACTTGGTATTTGGCGTCATCATATAGCTGTTGAACGAGGTTGGTAAAGGTTTATGGCTCTCACTGTGTAGTGTTGAAGCAGCAGCTGGCAAATTACTTGTTGGTTGACGGTGTCGAAGACCTTTTCAAAGTCAATGAAGTGGATGTACAGGTACAGTGAACTGTCATTCTGTTCTCTGTTCTATGATGATGCGTAGCATTGTGTTGCAATTTGATCCCGATATAATTTGTTTTACTGAAGCCATGCTATATTGCGAATTGAATTGCCACTCAGTGACTAAATGATTAACCTGTTCTCCACAAAATCTGAGTCTACTGAGTTGGCTTCCTGGCTGCGTCATGGGTGTTTACTGCACAGAAGGAGACCCATGTTAGGACGAGGCATTTTTTCACTACTCGCATAGGATTTTCATTGCTTCCCCCTAAATGATGACAGTCCGTAATGAGTAATACTTTAACAATTAACTAGTTTCAAGTTGATTCTCATCATGGACTGAAATTATTTGTAAAAATATTGAAAACCTGGGAGCACTGAACAACTATTTCGTCCTAGTATGGGACTCCTCAGGATTGCGCACTCAAGATCTTCATGTTCCACGGCCAGTACGTCGCCACTGAGCTAGAGCGTCAGAATTCAGCTATCCGCAGTTCCTACTTCTGACCATCACGCAATGTCATCGTTGAGTATTTATCCTTACGTTTATGCGATGCTGTTAAGTGGTGCCGAGTTTGCGTTGCTGGTTCGCGAAAACCAGAGGTCTTTTGTGCACCGGGGATTACACTTGAAGCCTAATTCCTCAGGATGTCTAGCTATCTCACATCCTTGCTGGATATCTACCAATATACCGTCTTTACTTACTTAAAACTGTGGTCGATGAGATCCTTATACGAAAGATCAATGGCTTGGAACTTCAAAGCAAGTATGCATTTCACCTATGTGAATCTTTGATCTCTGTTCATGGGTCAAGTACTTTATGGGAATACTTTTACAGAAGGGTGAGCTAAATTTAAGTCTGCAAGGTTGTGGGGATATCGATGAGATGTCTGCCTATTTGGGGGTGAGTACAGTCAACGGAACCTCACAGTTAAGAAGATTCTGGGATAACGTTTTGCTATTTTGAGGTCGTGTTGACAGAATACTTGGGAATGAATGTTCGCTTTTATTTCGATGTATCGCCTAGTTCCAACATTCAGCATCGATCAGATCTAATTGCTTCACAGTAAGTTATGAAGGTGTGTTATAGTTTTGTGAACATTTTTCGTAGAGAATTAGAGTTTACTAGTGAGAGTATATTATATGCCTGATGAAGAGAATCGCACTAGTCTCTGAAAAGTGATTTCTTACAGCTTTGCTTGTCCTAGTATGTGACACTAGGTGTTCACGAAGGTGGCGCAATTTAGAGCTTGTAAACCACCGTCGTTGACTGGACAGAATTAGTCGGTCACAACTGGCAGACATTCATGTATGGGTATTTCGGTATGGCCGATATTTCCAGCTTTGATATTAACGATGTCTATCGGCTAAGAGTTGAGTCCAGGACACACGTATCTTCCCATTTCGGAGTCGTTAGCTGAGTGTAACTACGTCTTACGTTCGAGGTGCATGGGCCTTGAAAGCGTGTACACGTACCCGATGAGTCTCCGACAGGACTAGTCACTACTCATCGATGATATTCTCTTTATGTCCATTCCAATTTCGCTGATGCAGTCGTCCAAACTGTCATGTCACTATATTTCCGAATACTAGTAGCATATGGCGCAGTTTGAATCCATAATACTAATGTTGTATTCATCGTGAACCTACAATAAAGATGCAGGAGATCTGGATAGTTGTATTGCCGTAGTATGGGTTCCCGCAGGAGTGTGCATCCTCAACTCAGCTAAGGATCAAACTTACAACCTTCGGGTTTCGAAGCGAGCATGTTTTCATTGAGCCACTGGGTCGGAGTTCAGTACTTCACAATTTTCAACTGATGTCAATTCGCGACTTAGTGCGACTATCACTCAAGGTCTTCAGTTGACATCCGCTTCCCTTCCGACTGGTTGATCCC